GATCTGATTTAGTATTTCATTGTTTCTAATTGTTTTTGGTTTTATATTTTTATTCCATGTGCTGTAAATATATCTTGCTACTTTTTATCTGATGATGTGATATTTTTGTTAAGCACTTTGGTAACAGTTTCTGTTTTAAATGTGCTCTAAAAATAAATCTGACTTGACTTTAGTTATACAGGTTAGTTCCCATTGAGCCTCAAAGACTCATTTACATGAGAGACCTGTTTGAGACCTGTTTATATGTTCATGGATGTGATTAATCAAAATCAGTTAAATGTGAACGTTAGTGCTCTTTATTCAGAAAACCCACACGTCACATGTACATTTCATGATCTGGTTATTATAAACACATATTAAATGTGAAATATGAATATTTCTATATTTATCACCACAGTAATAGTGTAACACACAGTAGTTATAAACACTCAAAATAATACATATGTTGGTTTAGTGCTATAACCTAAACATTTAAGGAGTAAACATTTTTAATAATCACGTTCAAAGTTACAAATCAGAGTCAGATTTGTCAGGCACACCACATGTGGTACACGAGGTGGGATGAAATCATGTACACAGGGTCCCAGTTACATGTACCAGTGTGTGTGAACCACAGGCTGAATTTAAAACTCTTTGTATGAAGTTCAGTCCATTTCTTTGACGGAGCATGTGCCACATCCAACATGGTGGACGCTCTGCACGTGTGAACGCACCTGGTCCGCCATGTTTGTTCACAACGCGACCATCTGCTCGTTGCATTTTTCACGTTAAGTACAAACACCAGGCCTCAGAAGAACCCTTCATCTGGGTCCAGGTCTCATCAGACAAACTTTTATCCCACAGAGACGTCTCTTATCTCTATCCCCATCATTTCTGTTAATTCTACTGTTGTACGGTGTGTGCGGGGGTTTCTCTTGTTCCTGCCTGGTCAACGTCTGGATGAAATTAGTGAGGAAACCCGGTGTGGTAGCGCGACACAGCTGAGAAAATGAACCCTCTCAACCCTGATCCGGGTTTCTGATTGGACCTGCGCTTCGGACGCCACAGCAGCGTGTTTTACTGACCAAACTAAGCTTCAGCAGTTGCTCAAACAAGAGCTCAACATGACTCAGTGGTCGTGGCAGGTACGACTCATACCGATAAATACAATTAACTTAATGGGCAATTCAATTGTCATCCATGCGGCTCTCATTGATCTTTCTGCGCCTGCGCAGCGAAAACCAAGCAGCAAGAAAAACGTAGTTGCATCGAAGATTTTCATAAATTAAGAGGTCTCACTCTGCCTCATTTTCTGTCTACAACAAACACGAGCACCAGGAAAATGTAAGATTCTTTGCTGTATATTATTCCCATAATTTTCAACACACACTTTGCAATAAACATATATAAAGTATGTGTCTACAGTCCCTAAGGTCTGCAGTAATTTTCTTTTCTGCTGCTCTCTTTACTTGCTCTACTCCACCTGATTGTAATTATTTCTATCTTAACATGTTTTTGTCTTTCGTCCAATAAAAGGACACTTGGACCTGTCATTCTGTTTGTCTGTGTCTACTTCCTGTCCTCTCACACCCAGCTGGTCGAAACAGACGACCACTCGTCCTGAGCCTGTTCCTGCTGGAGGTTTCTTCCTCATGAGGGAGTTTTTCCTTTCCACTGTCTCCTTTGTGCTCGCTCGGGATGGGAGACTGAAACAAAGTGAAGCTTCAACACAATCTGCTGTTTCCTTAGATCGATACATTTTACTAATCGGCTTTTATAATATGTGAATGTTTTTGTTCAGGCAGCACGGTGGCACAATTGGTAGAGCTGCTGCCTCTCAATGAGCAGGTTGCCAGTTCAAATCCCGGTCCGGGGGCCTTTCTGGGTGGAGTTTGCATGTTCTCTCCGTGCATGCGGTTTCTCCGGGTACTCCGGTTTCCTCCCACAGACCAAAAACATGCATGTTAGACTGACTGGTAACTCTGTCCCTAGGTGAGAGAGTGCATGTTTGTGTCTGTGTCCCTGTGATGGACTGGAGACCACCTCTCGCACAGTGACTGCTGGACAGGGGCACCGGCGACCCAAAAAGGAAGAAGCGGGTGAAGATCATGGACGGATGGTTCTGTTCAGCGCCCTGAGGCGACTTCTGATGTGACTTGGTGCTTTATAAAGAGACTGAGCTGAATTTGTGTGGTGGCGAGTTACAAGTTTGCACACCCGGTAAACGGTTACAGAACAAATCCCAACATTATAAAGCAATTGTCTAACATTGTATATGTTTAATCTTAGAGCTAACATAAAAGACAAAGATCACAAGGAAGGAACGGACGAGTCTCCAAAATCTTGTTGTCCTATTCATTTGATGCTGTGATCTTTTTGGTAAGCACTTTGATATCAGTTACTGTTTTAAATGTGCGATATAAATAAATGTGACTCGACTATGTGGAGCGACAGAAGACGCGTCGGTCCTCTGAGCAGTAGACGATCTTTGGACGCTGTGCAGCGTTCTGCGTAGTGCGCACGCGCTCCCCGCGGATTAATGTCAAGGCACAAAAGTGGCGCTGCAACGTCTCGAGCTCTGCTCCGGTAAGACAGTTTCACACGCGCTTTTTGCTTTACGCTCTCGCGCCTAACTGCTCCAAGTTTCGGGAACTTGTTGGGGGCACCGGGTGAGTCCCGGGAGAGTGTGTCCGGAGGCTCCGCGGGCAGAGGAGACCAGCGAAGAACAAACAGTTAATTGGAGCAGTTTTCTCCTCTGCTCCGTGCGCTGCCGCCTCCTGCCGCCTCCCGCCGCCTCCTGCCTCAGTATTGTTCCGCTGGCTCCCTAATGGCGGACGGCAGGCAGTGCTGTTTTCCGCTGGGGGGGTGTGGGGGTGTCAGATTTAGTCTGATTTGTTCCCAGTCACACCTGGCCTGTAACTGGGAGGACACGGAGTAAAATAGGACGCCGGGACTTGTTTTGTGCCTCGTTGTTTACCATCGCGAGACAAACGGAGTCGGACGTGTGGAGCAGGGCGCCCCCAGCGGCGGCCGCTGGACCTGCCGCTGATTGCGCCAGGGTGGACTACGTGCAGACAACTTTCCAATTAAAGCCTGGCGTCTCAGGTAAAGTGCATGTCGGCGTGTCGGGCCGAGTCTCGGTCCACGTGCTCGTGCGCACCTGGATCGTCCGACAGAAGCGAGCACGACGGCTTGCGTTGTTTCAGGAGCTACACGCGCAGTGTTGCGGGTTTAGCGCCACATTGAAACGTGTGCAATGTTTATTTTTATTCGAGTCGGTTTGGAGAAGTTGTGGTGGTTGTGGGGGGCGGGGTTTAACAATGGCGCAGTCTGCGTCGGTTTCCGCCCTCGATTCGCCGCTAATCCAGCGGCTGTTTGCGCCACAAGGACGGGGTGGAGCGGAACCGCCTGGACTCCAGCTGAGGCCGGTGTTTCTGGAAGACCTGCCCAGGTACTAGTCTGTGCCGGCTTTGATCAAAGTTCTGGACCTGCTCCCTGTGCTCAAGTTTAGGATGGGGGCTGGATCAGTGGTGCTGCTGTGAGGTCCAGTTGTCAGCTGGGTGTGGGGATGTTCTGGTGGCTGCTGGTGCACCATGTTCCAGTGGCTGCTGGTGCACCATGTTCCAGTGGCTGCTGGTGCACCATGTTCCAGTGGCTGCTGGTGCACCATGTTCCAGTGGCATGGCCTTTAATCTTGAATGTTCGTCTCCACCCTGTGAAGTGCTGGATCAAGTCCGCTGGGCTTCATGCACAGACTGGTGGTGGTGGAAGGTGGAGGAGCACCGTTCTGTGAAGTGATGATGTGGCGCTGGTTGCCCTGCGAGGGGTTTTGTTGCACACGGTCTGCACCGGTCCAGCCCGCCTTCCTGTCCACCTGGTGCTGACGTTGGGAGCAGGCTTGCATGTCGGAGCTCATTAACGCCGGATCCTCAGTTTCCTCTCATCCACATGCACGCAGGCCGTCACAACTCTGCAATGCAGCGTGAACTCCGTGCACACCACTGGCCTCGGCTCCACTGCCGTGCAGAGGTCCCTCCGTTGGTGCCCGGTTGGTTTCTTGCAGCTCTTGATTTTACTGCTGGTTACCATGACGACTACAGCACACGTGTTGACCCTAATTCATGTAGAGTGCAGACAACAGGAACTGCAGCTAAAGTGAATCATGATGCCAGCCGGTCTTTGAACTGCCCACAATGACGTTTTGATCTTGAATGACATTTTGTTTTGGACTTCCTGTCACATGATCAGAGCCTCTTCCTCACAGTTTTAATGTTTTACAGCGAAGCAGCTCCTAAAACTCGAGTCCCTGTGTTTTTCTCTGTTGACTACTAGATGCCTCCTAAACCAAGATGGCCACCACAGCCAGCTGACTGAAACGCAGATAAAAGCGGTGTGTGCAGGTTGTCAGTCATCCAGGACGTTACCAAACAGAACCACAACAGAACTAACCTGTATAAATAAAGTTTGAAGGAATAGATTGTTTTGCACAACAGCTGCAGTCTTCTTATAAAAACATACAAACTCAATATTGAATAAAAGTTCAGGGGTAAAAAATAAGTTTTTGTATTCGCAACAACATCAGCTGTAGGTGCTTGTAGGCCGTGTGCTAAATGGACTGTTCTTATACACCTTTATCACACAGCTCTGTACTAGATCACCCATTCACACAGCTCTGTACTAGATCACCCATTCACACAGCTC